CGATTACAGGAAATCTTTATGCGGAACCAAGATGGCAAGAAATCCTCCAAAGCCACTGTATGTCGTGGCTTTTGAGGGTGGTGTACCTCCACTTTTGATTTCTTCAAACGCCTAACTGGATTCTTTTTCATTGGTCTTTTTACCATCATCTTCCTTGTTGGTTTTTCTACTGATTCTTTTCGTGGGCTCCTTTTGTGGCGCCTACGACGAGTCACCAACGTCCAACCTTCATCATCATCAGGTTGATCGTCTTCAACTTTGTTGTTCTCCAGTAATTCTTCATTTTTGATTCCTTTTAAACTGCATAACTCATCTAGATTGAATGAGACAAAGGTGATAGGGACTTGGTCCACGCTTGCTTTCTCATCTTCAAGCATGATCTTCTTTTCGCGATCCAAGTCCATGACTTTGTCCTTGAAGACAAAGCACTTCTCCAGAGGGTGGCTTACAAGTTGGAGATATTTGCAGTAATTTGGGTCATTTGTTTTCCCAACTTAATTTGGTCACTTCATCTCCGGAAGCTCAATGAGATTTAACTCGAGGAGTTCTTCGAAAATGGCTGGCACATCAGAATCTAGGAATGGGTACTCTTTTTCCTGCATTTCTTTTAGAGTCAACTTTCCACTTGGCTTATCTTGAAAAGAAGTGGATTTCATACTCTGCTTCTTGCTCACTTTCGTCGGGAACTTCATAGGTGACGTGTTGACATTCATAGCTTATTTGCTTTCAGACTTGGGTACGAACTTGCCCCACTTCCTGACTTCTTGCTTGTCATTCCCTTTGCGAGGTTCATAGATGGGTAGCCTCTCATTTCCAGTGGAGGCCATGCTCAATTCCATGTCATGGGCATGAGTTGCAAGTTCTTTTAATGTGTCAAGCTTGCTACCTTGCAAGATGTAGCGCAATCCCCAATGCATGCCTTGGATGCACATCTCTATGCCTAAAGCTTTACTAAGCCTGTCTTTGCAGTTGAGGCTTGCATTCCTCCAATGATTGATAAAGTCGATAATTGGTTGCCCCTTTCGTTGACGAGTATTTATAAGTTCTATCATACTCACAGTGCGTCTCGTACTATAAAAGCGATTGAGGAACTCTTGCTCTAGTTGATCCCAGCTATCGATATATCCAGCCTCGAGGTCCGTGTACCAGTCAAAAGCATTTCCTTTTAGCGAGCGGACAAATTGCTTGATGAGGTAATCTCCATAAGTCCCAGTATTGTTGCACGTCTCCACGAAGTGCACAACATGTTGCTTTGGGTTACCTTTACCATCAAACTGTTGAACTTTGGAGGTTGATAGCCAGCAGGCATCTTCAACATATCGACCCTTGCAGTCTATGACTTTGCATATGTAAGGGAGGATTTGGTAGCGACTTCATATTTGTTCTTAATAGTTCCTTCAATGAACTCCTTCAGTTGATCGATTGGAATCATCCCTTCAGATGAGACAGGGATAACCTTAGTGGATGTTGCTTGTCTTGGTGGAGAGTCACTCTCTAGAACTTCTGGGAGCTTGCCAGGTGCATGGGTGGATTCTTCTTTCATCAAGATTCCCACCCTGTCTGTTATCTTGTCAATTCTAGCCTCTTGATTTTGCATGCATTTGGTCAAGCCAGCGATTGCTTCCGTCAAGTTTGCCAACTGCTCCTTCATAGATGAAGTGTTTGTCACCATGGCTTGCATGATTGTCGTGGACGACGGAGAGTAGCATGGATTATCACATAGATTGATCCTTGATTGGCTCACGCTATGTGGTGTAAGTGGGGAGGATCCATTACTTGAAGCATCATCATCTTCCTTCATAGCAGAGTATTTGGATCCGAATAGGTTAAGCAGAGCAAGAGTTTTCTTGATCTTTTCAACAACATCGCTTCCTCCTTCAGATGCGTTTGTGGAAGATTTTGCTCCTTTTGAGGATGAAGATCCGAAAACAGGGGTTGACACGAACGGCACTTGGGGTGTTTGTTGTCCTAAAGAGCTTGCTTTGCTCCTCGTAACTGGTCCGAAGCTTCCAAAGGTAACATCGAGGATGCTTTCCACATCAGCATAGAACCTGGAGTTAGCAGCCTTGGTGGAAGTTGAACCGGAGTTGATTTTCTTTGAAGCCATTTCAATGTTCTTGGACTTTAATGATTGAAAAGTTGAGATGAGAGGTAGAGATTGCCCCACTGGGAGTGCCAGAATTTGTAGACAATAAATTGCGTCGAGAAAATAAAATCATGACCGAAAATATCGCAACAATTGTAGTATTTTATTTCGAATATTTGAGTGTTACAATCTCTATGGATCCTCTGATTCTTCTTTCCAATTGTAAATAAATTCAAGGTCCTTTGAGCTTGATCTTGAATCTATGTTTGTTTCCACGAACGATGATCTCGAATTCAACTAGCACGAACTTTGATTTGAACTTGCACTCCTTGAACCTTGATTTGTTCACGAACGTTGGTCTCGAATTCAACTAGCACGAACTTTGATTTGAACTTGCACTCCTTAAACCTTGATTTGTTCTTCGTTCTTGAGCTTGAACTTGATTTCTTGAACTTGAACTTGATTGCTTGAAGCTTGAAACTTGTGGAGGAATTTGCGATGTTTGATCCACGAGCTCTTTCTTGCTTCTTGTTATAACTTCTGGTCCCTTTTATGGGTTATGAAAACCCCTATTTATAGTTGTAGAAGGGAGGAGTCATGATAAGAACAAACTCTTTCCGACCAATCAAATTAAAGTGTGACATGACCGCATTTGCCAAAATACGTCACTTGCACATGTGGCGCGATTTCATTGGCCTTTCAGTGTGACTGGGCCTACCTTGTTATTTTGACACGTGGCGTGGTCCTATTGGCTCTTTCGCTTAACTTGGCGCGCCACGTCATTTGACACGTGGCACCAACTGGGCCTCTAGGAAGATGACATCTTGGGCTTAATGAAGTGGGCTCATCATTTTAGCCCAATTAAATGAGCTAGCCCAATGGATTAAGACTTATTTATTTAATCCATATATATTGAACTTATTTGTATAATCCATAGCCCAAAATATTTTAGTTGGACTAGAATATCTTGAATTTAAAATATGGTCCAAATTATTTTATGAATTTAAATTCAATAAAATTTATATGTCTACAAACTCCTTTAGACCAAAAAAAAAAAAAAAAAAAAAAAAAAAAAAAAAACAGTTCTTATCACTTTCCTCATCTAGACTCCTATACACAGGGGCGAATCCACCCTTTAGAGTGGGATGGTATGGCACCCGCTAGGCAGAGGCGGATTTAGGGGGCGGAAGGGTGTTCATCTGAATCCCCTTCGTCGGAAAATTATACTATATATATAGGGTTAAATTTGATTCTTATTGATATATATTAGATGTTGCATTCCCATGACATAAGTCTAAAGCTTAGCTTAGTGGTGAAGGAGGTTCAAACTCTCTTTAAGGGCTCAAGTTTGATTCCTACTTCCCACACACCGCAATTGTTTTTTCTTTCACACTGCTTGAATAATACATTACGCAGAAGGTGAGGCTAATAACACTCCTACTGTTTGCCTTCAACTTCTTCGTCTTATTTATTATTAAAATAGTTATTTTTGCAATTATCTTTTGCTCATTTTTAATTATTATTTATTATACATGATTTATTTTGGCCTTTTCTTCCTTATAATGCCCCTTTTTACTAGTATATTTTTTCTGTAACAACAACCAATGTATTAGTTTTAATCCAACATATCGTTAGCATGAGTTTCAGCGATAGTTTCGTTCCTATTTAGATTTATTTTTTTCTTATGAACCTGTTTGATATTATATTTGGATTCAACAAATTTCGATGAATTTATTCGATGAAATTTTTATTGTTCACTTCTTTGTAATATTGAACCCCCTTGCTCAGAGTTTTGGATCCGCCAATACCGCTAGGTTGGTAAACTTATTGTGTATTTATGTAAAAAATTCCTTAAACCAGGTTAAATATTTGATTCCGTAAGTCCCAGTTGCAAACTAGATAAAGGTGCCATAGATGGTAGACCTTATTGAAAGTTTTGCTCGTGTGTAAAATTCAAATTCGAGTTTATCTTGAACCTTGTTTGACTTTCCCTTTTCGTTATGCTTTTTTATTTCCTTTGTTCCAGTCATTTTCCTTTGTGGCTACCTCCCAATTTTTTATTTGCCGTTTATTATTTTTTTAAAAAAAATTCCTTTATTTTATTATTTTATCTGTGATATTTAGCAAGAACACTAAAAAAAGAGCTTCCAAAATTAAAAAATTTATAAAGAGCATTTCTCTTAATCTTTACTAGTTTTTTTCTTTTAAAATAAAAAAACTTAGGGCTTTGATATGAATTTTGAATTGAGATCAAATTTAATTTTTATAATTTCTTTTTTTATTATAACATAAAATTTTGTGATATTCTATGATTATTAAATACAATTTAAATTTCTTTATTATTAAATTATGATGAATATTTCGCAAGCATTACCAAGAAAAATATGAGATTTATGATTTAAATTTTTGGGATCTTGTAGTTTATCTAATTATGTATTTACTTATGAGGTATAACTTATCTATTGAAGATATTTTTTTTTTCTTATTCTGATTAGTGAAATTTATTCGTGCAAATTTATTTTTAGCATACCAAAAAGATGTAGTTCTCTAATAAAAATATTGATTTTACTTGTATTGTTAATAATAAAGGTGTGATTCCTTCTTTTAAAATGCTAATTACTTTTGCTTCTTGATGTTTGAGATGTAATTTTCATACAACAACAACATACGTAGTGAAATCTTATAAATAGAGTCTGAGAAAGAGATATAATTTTCATACATGCAAATAAAAAATGCCTATTAAATTGTCCGAACGAGTAAAAAAAAATTAATCGGACATTTGGCCTCTACTTTGTTGAAAAGGAATCTTTAGTTGTAATCTCCCATACAGGGTCAAAGCAAATCTCACCAAACAAACGCTCCGACCTAAAGTCATTCGCTTAATATTTCATTTCTGTCTTCCACTATATTAACAATAACAAAAACAGACAACAGTTTAAATTGCATTGTCCTATGTTTAACTGTGTAAATTTTGCATAATCTCAGATATTTAATTTCGTATTAACAAAGTATGACATGTGCTATGATCCAAGTATAGTTTAGACTATGTTTGAATATTGAATATTCTATGCTTAGTATTTGCTTATTACGCGATTCCTTTGCGGATATCGTAGCATAAATTTCTCTATTCCCACGTTAAATGGTTCCCTACCAAACCTAGCAAGTGCATTTACTCGAGTTTGTCAAATAGTTTATGAAAATTTAATAGCGTACGTATTGGATTATGCATCCACTGGTTTAATTCCTTCAACCATGGCTTAACGGGGAAGAAGACCGTTGACCTTACATATGGGCTTAACATAACTGCTTGACTTTCCAGATTTTGCCCTGCAATTTTCAATCTGTTACTCTAACCACATTTATTCACACCATGAGGTTATCTCCACTCTTGTTACTTTTCACTCTTTATTTGATTTTCTTAATCTTACACTGTGTGTTAAATTGCACCATCAAATTTGTTGTTTCCTTTTATTGTATTTTTGGATTGATTCTGAATTTTATTATGTTCTCATTGGACTTCACTCTCTCTGGTTGTTTTTTTAGATAACTTGCAAATCAGATATATGTCCCACCGTCTATTACTAGTTGTTTAGTTAAGATTAATTGTTGCTTTCCTTTGTGCTTTGAAGGCGTTTGATTTGATTCTGAATGTTCTCAATAACCTCTCTTTATGCCATTAGATTGGTATTTAATGGCAGTTGTGGAGGTAGAGCTTGAACTTGTGTAGGCAGTTGAATTTTTTTTAAAATATATGGTACTCCATAATTTTACTTAGTTTGGACCTACTTCTACAAAATACTAGTAATATTGAGTGCATCAACGGACTTAAAATGTTAATCGGCCTCTCTGTAATGGACCTTTAGTCATCATTAAGTGTCAAGTGGACGAGAGTTAATCAGTAAAGTTGTAAGTTTTAGTGCCCATTTTCTTCAGTTTCCCATCAGGGTTATGATACCGAAATCATATGAACACATTTTAATTTGATATTTTCATTTATGTGTAATGCTTACTAGATTTGATATCCTGTGGATTGAAGATCAACATAACTGACTCTTTAGTGGATCTTAAGGGATTATATAACTAAAGGGGAGCCTTGGCGTAACTGGTAAAGTTGCTGCCACGTGACCACGAGGTTACGGATTTGAGCCGTGGAAACAGCCTCTTGCAAAAATGCAGGGTAAGGCGGCATACAATAGACCCCTGTGATCCGGCCCTACCTCGGGCCCTGCACATAGCGGTAGCAAGGATCAGAGGTCTCAATTCGAAAATTAAGTTCATATGGATATTGAAATCATGTTTATCCATAGCTGAAGCTAAAAATCTGATCATTCTCCATTTGCAGTTCTCTTTGTCGTGCTACTTCTTGTACGCCGTTCTCTGTGGTTTCCCTCTGATAGTTTAAGTTGCTTTTCTTGGATTTGCTCTCTAAATCATTGCACTTGTTCGAGCCTGACCTATATATAGTAATGCAATCCCCTAGTGCGGATTTGCTGCTCATTCATTCAATTGGTCATGGTGCAGAATGTCTGATGGTCTGTAGTAACTCTTCTAGCAGTTTTGATTTAAATAGAACAAAGTATTAGTGAAACTGTCTCGGGATTTTTGGTTCAAATTTGTGCCTTGACCCTTTGGTGTGGTCTTTCAATAGCATATACTTTTAGTGAAATTAGGGGTTACCTGATCAACTATCAGTGATAATGCCAATTAATCATGTCTAATCACTAGTCAAGTAATCAACTCAATGATAATGAATATATGGCTTATGGTGTTCACTGAGCATGTTTTGTGTTTTCATCGTAAGATACTCCGTGCACCAAACAATGTTATCCCTCTTTGTTTTAGGTCCTATTTTCTTCTGATTTGAATTTGATATGTTGATCCATTACAGATCAAGGAGATTTTATGGGATTTCTCTTTCCCTAATCATCATCAACATGGCTGCCATAATGGAGCGTGCTGATGAAAATCTCCTTCCAGCTGTTTACAAAGAAATCAGTGAAACTTTTAAGGCAGGGCCATCTGATCTTGGTTATCTCACATTCATAAGGAATTTCGTCAAGGGAATTGCATCACCAGTAGCAGGTATTTTAGTCATAAACTATGACCGTCCCCCTGTTCTTGCAATTGGGATACTGTGCTGGGCACTGGGTACTGGTGCAATGGGTGCTAGTAAGTATTTTTTTCAGGTTGGATTCTGGAGGGCAGTAAATGGTTTTGGACTGGCAATTGTGATACCTTCTCTACAGTCATTTATAGCTGATAGCTATACGGATGAGGCTAGAGGAACTGGATTTGGATTTCTTAATCTTATTGGAACTATGGGTGGGATAGGAGGTGGAGCTATTGCTACAGTTATGGCTGGCTATGAATTCTGGGGCATTCCAGGATGGCGCTTTGCCTTCGTCATGATGGCAACATTGAGTAGTTTGATTGCATTTCTTGTATTCAAATTAGTTATTGATCCAAGAAGAAGAACCAGCATAGAGCACGATATTGCAAAAAATAGTGACAGGTAGGGTTGCTTGTTTAAGTTACATTAGATTTGTCAGAAACATTGTAGCTTCATGTCCTATGCTCTAGTTAACCATCATTTCACTCTTTTTGCGATCCTGTTTTAGGAAGGATTTGATAGAGAAGGGACATACCAATTCAATGTCGATTTGGATGGAGTCTTGGACAGCCATGAAAGCTGTCATTAAAGTGAAAACGTTTCAGTGCATTGTTCTGCAGGGTCTGGTTGGGTCCTTACCTTGGACTGCCATGGTTTTCTTTACATTGTGGTTTGAATTAATTGGTGAGTAGCCTGTATTTCATGTTTAGTAAGGTGCCTGCTCTTTTAATTTCCAATGTTTATTGTATTATTTAGTTCATGACCGTGCACTGCATCAATAATAAACATGATATGATGATGCAGGTTTTGATCACAACAATGCAGCAGCACTAGTCGGTCTATTTGCTGCTGGATGTGCATTAGGTTCCTTTTCTGGTGGTGTCATTGGAGATAGAATGTCTCGCCTATACCCTAATTCAGGCCGTATCATGTGCGCGCAATTTAGCGCTTTTATGGGCATCCCATTCTCATGGTTCCTTCTTCGTGTTGTCCCCCAGTCCGTGAGCAGCTATTTCACATTTGCTGTGACTCTATTCCTGATGGGGCTAACAATCAGCTGGAATGCTACTGCTACAAATAGTCCGATGTTTGCTGAAGTGGTGCCTTCAAAGCACAGGACCATGATCTATGCATTTGATCGCGCCTTTGAGGTTTCATTTTCTTCGTTTGCAGCTCCAGTTGTAGGAATTCTTGCAGAAAAACTATATGGTTATGATTCCAAGTCTGTTGATCCGCTGTTAGGATCTTCAAAAGAGGCCTTAGCATTGTCAAAAGGCCTATTCTCAATGATGGCAGTGCCTTATGGTTTATGTAGCCTATTTTATACCCCTTTGTATTGGACATACAAGCAGGACCGTGAGAATGCAAGAATTGCAAGTATAAAAGAAACAGAGATGATTTGACAATCACACCTCTTCGCTTCCTTGTCGGTGCTGAATCGTGTGGATGTGGTTATTCTGGCATCAGAGATTATGAGCACTCCGGTGTTATAGCAGTTTGCTAAGCATGGCTGCGGTATATATCAGAAGGTGACCTGCTCATGGAAGCTAGGATTTGTTAGAAAATAATAAACAAAATTGGTTTTGAGGCGTGAAAATCGACTGTCCTTAAAGAGTTATCGTCTGTATACTAATTTAGGGAAAATACAAAACGATTCTCTTCAGGATACAACAAAGCCTGCAATAACACTTGTGATTTTCTTTATCATTTCGTTGGAATTCTTGTGTATTTATAAGCAACCAACATACCCTTTCAGAAAAGATGTCTTGTTTCACAAACAGANTTATCGTTTGTATACTAATTTAGGGAAAATACAAAACGATTCTCTTCAGGATACAACAAAGCCTGCAATAACACTTGTGATTTTCTTTATCATTTCGTTGGAATTCTTGTGTATTTATAAGCAACCAACATACCCTTTCAGAAAAGATGTCTTGTTTCACAAACAGACACGACTATTTATTCGAATTTTGAATTTAAAATTCAAATAAATTTGATTTTTCTGTTAAAAATTAATTAACTTTAGGATCTCGTGTCTGTTGAGTCAATTTCGTGCCTGTTGAGTCAGTCTCGTGCCTATTGAGTCAATCTCGTGCCTGTTGAGTCAATTTCGTGCCTGTTGAGTCAGTCTCGTGCCTATTGAGTCAATCTCGTGCCTGTTGAGTCA